TGTCAAAAAATTATCATTAATATCATAAGTGAACATCTTTCTTATGTAAGATGATACTCGACACGAATCTGGTTGCAGCTAATGTACTAAAATGAAATGCTTGCATATTAGCCATCAAACTTTCACTCTTGCTAAATTTTAATTTTATGCACAAAAACATTCAGTCTACGTTTGAAAATAACAAGCTAAAAACTTGGAGTATGAAAGGTTATGTTTATATTATGAAGAGGATTATATTATTGTGAACTTATGCGTATATTATAGACACAATAGTAGCAGTAATAAGTATTTCTTTAGATTAAATTTTTCAAAATAAAGAAGAAGAAGAATGTGTTCAGTTAATCGTTCATTCAACTTTCCTTTATTTTTGTAACGGGTGGGCCAGATTAAACCAGGCAGTTTTGTTTTTTGTTTTTGAGGCACTAAAAATTGTTTTCACATCCGGTTTTGAGCTCATTCGAGATAGACAATGCTCTGAAAAACTGTCAACTTTATTTTTCAATTAAATTTATCTTGTTGGCACAAAATTAAAAAGATTATCATGTGTTCAGTCATCTAACTGCGATCTCTTGTTTTCTGTAGACATTCACCAGTTTGTGTAAGCCCATGTTCATCAAGTCCGATACTAAAAGAAAAGTATCTAACGTCAATGGTTAGAGAATTTTGTGCTCTACGCTTTCACGACCTTTTCAAGGTTACTGATGCTATCGTTCGGGAGAAATAGGCTTGGAACTAACACCTAGTGGTATTTTTGGATGTATTTTAGAAAATCACGTTGTCCAATGTCAGACTTGATCTCTGACACGTTTATTAAGCCGTCGCATGTAGACTTTTAATTCCGAACAAAATTGCGTGACTGTTAAGTTGAGCAGTGAAAACCTTTAGGCTGTTTCGGATTGAAAAAGAATAATGGCGTAGACCTGTCAGAAGTAGGATTTTTTCGATGTTTTCACATTTTTTTAATTTAAACATCTTTTTTTTGCAAAATATTTCTTCTCAAATTCTGAAACAAACATCAAAAGATGTAAAATTTTATAAAGAACTCTGTGACATATTTGAAATTTTAACGAAGCCATTATTAAAAATTTATCATCATTTTTTCGTTTTCTGACTGTTGGACGATTGAGTGGGTGTTCATTTTTCAAATTTTGTGCTGACAAAATAAATTTATTTGAAAAACAAAATTGACAGTTTTGTAGAGCAATCAATTGTGCATTGTATGAGGTCAAAATTGGATTTGAAAACGATTTTTAATGTCTCAGAAACAGAAAACAAAAGTGACCTGTGTAATCTGGTCCCTCTGTTAGTTTTATTTGAAGTGGATACTTCTGTTATGGTCTTCGTCTTCGAATTAAATATCGACAGCCGTATAGTTATCAGTTCAGTGTAATGCTCCTTTAGGTAGGGAAGATCTAAAGAGTTTGCATCTTCTTAAACGCCTCTGCGTAGGATTTTCTTTTTGTCTCATCCGTCATAAGATGTTTAGTATCGTGTAAGTTTCGAACGACAGAAAAAAAAGAGAATTATAGTGAACAAGTCACAGACTGTTTCAAACAAACAAATGTGAAAAAAAATGAAAATTTTTTGAGAATTATTACTATTATTATGTGTACTAAGAATTACGTCTAGATAATTCATAAAAGCAAAATTTTACTTAACATTTTTTCCGACTTTTATTTCATTATTACAGGGTATTTCAATATGTTTTAAATAATAGATTATTTAGAAGAATAAAAAAAAAGTTATCATCAATGCAAAGTTAATGGTAAAAGAAGAAGAACAATAATAATATAATGATTAACAGTTCATCTTTCTTTTCAACAGAATTTAAAATGATTACGATAATTGAATAGATATAAATTAATAAAAAAAATTTCCTAGTTTAGATTACATAAATTTATTTTCTAGGATAAATAAGTTTCTATAGACGTATGATCAGTTTAGAAATTTTTCAAAGTGCCATGTTCATCTGTAAATAACACATCTATAGTGTATGCAACTTAATGCTACTCTTTTCGTAGCTTTCATTCTAGGGTTTCCAAAACACTCTGATTGTTTCAGTAATATAAAGGGTGGTGATTCAGACGTTCTGAAGCCACTTTTCTATTAAATTTTTACCTATATTAACTTGTGTTTAAAAATTTAATATTTAACTCAAAAGAGAGAAAATTTAATTCTCTAGGAAACTATTGATTTTGTTTTGAAATTATTTTCTGAAATTTTAGCAGAATATTCACGTTTAATTTTCTAAAACGTCACAAAATAAACCTAAATTCTTTTTAGCAAAGTGTTAAATAATTATTTTAATGTTAAAAGATGTAGAATTTTATGTTGGACAATCTGACACTATTTATGTTAAATGATTATTCTTTTTTGTGAGAAAAAAAGCCCTAAATTGACTGACTTACGTAGAAAATCCATATTATCGGCATTTTGCCCTCAAACTCAAAATTTAAAGATATGCATTTTATATCAGAAAATGCAGAATTTCTCACTTGATAAGATCACATATATCAGAAAATAAAATTCTAAATTTAATTTTAAAAGTATAAAATAATATTAGATGCTACTAAAGATCGATCCTCCTAAACTCCGTTGAAACTTTCATGAGAAACTTTTTCGAGAGCCACCTTGACTTAGAAGGATTTTCCTTTGCCACATGAAATATGGGACTGTATACAGAATTTCGCGCTGAATTTAAGGATGTATTGTGTTTTGATTAATAAATGTTTTTTAGTCAGATACGCCAAGAAGAACTTCGATTAGATAGGTGATCAATTTTCACAACGTAACATTTTAGAATTTTTATTTTCACAGCGATGAGTCAAAATTAATTTCAAAATAAAATCGATAGTTTCTTAGAGAATTAAATTCTATCTTTTGAGCTAAATACTAATTTTTAAACACAAGTTAAGAAGGGGGGCTCCCCACTCGGTTTTTCCTATCAGTTTGTAGAGGACACTCTGAAGTATATATTTCAATACTTTTTTCGGGTACCGGACCTGTAGTTTTTGAGAAAATAATTTTTTAAGTTTAGTCTCTGTTTTTTTGCTCCATTTTTAAAAGTTTAATAAAATTTTCAGATTTCTATATATAACCTCCGTTTTGATGTCAATCGTTAGAGGACATCAAGATGTATCTACAAAAATTTTGGGCAAGCTTCCAGCGAGGCTTTGATTGAGTTATTCCGCTTTGACCTGCCCAATGGCATTTTGAAGCAAGGAGTATTCTTAAAAACACCTTGAACCAAATTGTGCTCGAAGGAAGCATTTTCAAGGAAAAGTGTGGATACGAAAGTTGTTCAGAATCAGATTCCCTCGAATACGAATAAAGGATTTTTCAAAATTCATTAAACGCGATTTTTAAATTGAAAAATACGGTTTGTTAAAATTTTAAAATTTTGTAAAATTTAATTTAAAAGTCCAGTTTAACGAATTTTTCTAAATCCTTCGTTCATATTTCAAGGAATCTGATTCTGAACAACTTTTGTTTGAAAATGCTTCCTGCGAGCGAAATTTGGTTCACGGTGTTGTGAAAATATTTTTACTTTGCTAAAAATTAGAGAAATTTTTGAATTTTGAATTTTTTTATTAAATTTTCCCGGTTCGTAGAGGATACTTCGAAGTATAAGTTCTGAAGTTTTTTCGGCTTACTGGCACTGTTTGGCTAAGAAAAAAATTAATTACTTTAAAAAATGTTGGTAAATTTTTGAGCACAGGACTGCTATAAAAAAATTCTAATGAATGAATTGGATTCTAAAACTCTTAAGTTAGCCAGTCTTGTAGCCCGTGAAATTCTCTATCAGATGAAGTATTGCTTGTACATATTTTCTCGTAGTGAATATTCTGCACACATTTCTCTATCGATCTAGACAAGAAGCAAGTTTTTATGATGAATGGAGAATGGACAGGAATTCTTTTAATAATAGTCCTGTGTTCAAAAACGCGATATTTTTTACAGTAATTAATTTTTCTCTCAGCTAAATAATGTCAGTAAGCCAAGAAAAGTTCAGAACATATACTTCGAAGTATCCTCGACAAACTGAGAACGTTGGAGGAAAATCTAAATGGGGGGGAACTCCCCATAATTTAGATAAAAATTAAATAGAAAAGTGACTTCAGGACCACCCATCATACCATTATTTATGTAAAATGGATTATTTGTACTTGTAATCCGTACTTTTGCTATGGAAAATATTTGTGCTATAATTTGTGCTGAAATTGTAATGTAGAAAATACTTTTCCTCCTGGGTTGAAAACTTGATGTTACCCCTAAATCCAATGACACGTGCACACATCAACACGTGCACATGATAAACTCTATTTTTCTCAGTTGAGGAACGCATTTGAGACAAAATAAGGTCATGTTCGGAATCAGTACGTTGAATTGTATCAAATTATGTATTATGCGATAAGTTTCGAATGGAAAAACTATCCACCAGCAAAATCAATTTTTCGAGAAAGTGTTTTTTCCTAAAAACGCTTAAAAGCAGCATGACTAAGCAATGATAATTATTCATTGGTTTACGAGCAATAAATTCTGATGTCTTCCTGTTACCAGAAAAATGTCTGCTGTCAGGATGTATGAGAACGAAATATTTTTCACATGTTTCTACTCTTCAAACAAATAGCTGCTTTTATAAACCGAAACACCATACTCATTTGAATTGTATATTAGAATTAATTTTTCATTGCTATATTGCTTGATTTTATGAAATACATCTAAACATTTTTTAGAATTAAACAAGTTGAAATCTATTATTTCATTTCTAGAAAAGACTGCCGATTCTTCACATCACATATTAGCTTGACACATAGCTTGGAGTTCTTTTGCCCAATTACTTCAGCTTCCGATATATACTTCACTAACTACGTACTAGCTTTCCGGAAAGCCACGAGGACTAACTGGAGAAACTGTATCGTACGCTACAGCGTAGTGAGTATGCTGTCAGACGGGTGATTGGAGGTACTAATACATAAGTAACTTGTCCAGTTTATTACATGACTTTGCTAGAGCCGAGGTTCGAACACAGTACGATTGAAGTACGTGACGAACAGCATAACTATGAAGCTATGCTGCCTTAGGTCAAGATTTTCTTGAAACTTTTCCTTGAAAAAAATTGAACTAAATTTTTGAATTCAACTTCATTTTATTAGACAAGTGATTTACAATTCATTCTGAGGCTCTTTTCTTCTCAGTACATGTAATGTATGAAAAGTTTTGAAGCATCAAGGAAATGATAGACAAATAAAATATGGATTGATATTCGTCTTTCTTGTTAGTTTCTGCAGTTAGTTCCCATTTCGTCGAAAACTTAATTGACTGATATCATCAGTTGTTTCTGTTTCATCGAAGAACAAAACTGTATTCTAAATGAAGTAGAATATAGATTATTCTAATTAATAAGGTTTTTTTAAACAGACTAATTAAAAAGAATGCTAAATTATCCTAAATGACGTATATGTACATGCAGTTAAAAACAGAAATTCACCGTGTATTCTATTTGTATTGAATTTTAACATAGAATGACTTCTCTGATATATCTTGCTCTGTATTTCATGTTATCTATTGTTGAAAGTAAACGTAAAAGACCAGTTTTATTACTTGATACTTTTTGTTACATCCAAAACAATAAAAATAAATATAAAGTTGAAGAATTTAAAATGAATTTAAAACGACATATTTAAGAATCACCAGAATCGGTAAAAAGAATTTATAGAGAAAAAAATAATATAATTCTTAATATTAGTTAGAGTAAAATGTGTTTTCAATTCATTCTGAGAATCTTTTCTTCACACTATATGTAATGTGCGTAAATTTTTGAAGGATCAAGGATATGATAAACAAATAAAAATATGGATTAATATTCGTCTTTCTTGTTAGTCTGTGCTAGATACAATTCGATTTTCTCAGCATATAATTTGATTTTGCCCATTAAAAACATAAATCATCTTGAATAAATTTATTTTACAATCATTGACAGAAAAGTTCAAGCAGCACAATCTTGAACTGATTCTTATTACATGCACAGTCCTTGAGACTGCTAACTTTTTATTCAATTTAGTTGAGAATATGTAGAACATCACGAAAATAATTCGGCGATTCATAAAGAATTTCAATAGTGAATTTGTCTCTAAATATGTTAAAATAAATTCACTATTGAAATTCTTTATGAATCGCCGAATTATTTTCGTGATGTTCTACATATTCTCAACTAAATTGAATGAAAAGTTAGCAGTCTCAAGGACTGTGCATGTAATAAGAATCAGTTCAAGTTTGTATGACTTGAACTTTTCTGTAATTAAAGCTCGGCTGTAAAACAATCAGTATAGTCGAAATTAAAATACCAGAATTATAGATTATTCTCCTATACATTGAGCATTATAATCGATACTTGCTTCTGTCAAGGTAAATCATAAGATATAAATATTTTTCTTTCGTTCATTTTGCATAAAGACAATCATGTCTATAACGGGTGACCCAAATTAAACGAGCCACTTTTGTTTTCTGTTTCTGAGACATTAAAAATCGTTTTCAAATCCAATTTTGAGCTCATACAATGCACAATTGATTGCTCTACAAAACTGTCAATTTTGTTTTTCAAATAAATTTATTTTGTCGGCACAAAATTTAAAAAATGAACATCCACTCAATCGTCTAACGGTCAGAAAACGAAAAAATGACGATAAAGTTTTAATAATGGCTTCGTTGAAATTTCAAATATGTCACAGAGTTCTTTATAAAATTTTACATCTTTTGATGTTTGTTTCAGAATTTGAGAAGAAATATTTTGCAAAAAAAAGATGTTTAAATTAAAAAAATGTGAAAACATCGAAAAAATCCCTCATCCACACTAAACGAGTATATAAAAAAGAGAAATAGATCTCTTATTAAGACGACATAACTTAAAGTTATGTCGTTCATTTTTTTTCTTTTTTCTTTTAAAAGAACAATAATAGCGTTTTTTTTTCTCCTGTTCTCTTTGCTTTCTTGAGACAGAGATAAAGAAAAAAAAAGGTTTTCATAATTTCATTTACAGCTCCTTAATTTATTTTCTTACTCTTTCTTCTTCTTGGTCATCATTTCCCTCAATAGTCCTATTGGGATGATATTTGTTTATATTAAGAAAAATGAAGTTCAATTTTATTTCATTATTTTTACTATATCAGTTACAAATCGTTAATTGTTCAGATATATTTTTATTTTTTACAAACACCAGTGAATTATTATATCAACAACTATCAAAAACTATTGATGATGATATATCGTTTAATTGGATAAATTCAACAAAATATTTAAATACAGTCATAACATTAACAGATGAAAATATCAATAATATTACAATAACTCAGTATTTTTATCGAATTATTTTGATATTTGTTTGTGCATGTGTATCACTATTAACAATATTTGGAAATTTACTTGTTTTAATCACATTTCGAAGAATAAAAACAGTGAGTGAATTTTAGATAAATTTGAGTTTTTGTATCATTGATTAGAAATATTTAATAGACATATCACTTTTATCATTAGAGAATTGTAGTTCATCTAATTTTTGCACGAAAATATTTTTTTTTTTTTTTTGAAAAGAGTATAACGTTTAAAAACCCAAATAAAAATGTCAATATTTTGCACATCAATAAATTATTTTGAAAAGAGTATGATTAATGGAAGAAATGGTTGAACTTCTCAATAGAAATGTGAAGATGAACACACTATAAATCTAAAAAATATGAGATAATGGCAAATGTTTTTTTATTTCGTTTATCTTCGTACAAGGTTTATCTGATCTACTATCAACAATAACTTTTTTTTTTGATAATGATTTTTGTTTTTTAATGTAAAACTTTCTCAATGTAAATTATAGTTCAACACATACTGAATTAAGGGTTTTAGTCGATAAATTAGTATACGGTTTATTTCCTTGACACGATAGAGAAAATGGAGATACTCATTTTAGTTGTTTTTAGTTCAAAACAAACCGAATATATAGATTATGATACTTTAAGAGATAAGATACTTCGGTGTAGTTGATAAAGGATAATTTTTCTATTGTAGTCAGTAATCCGTTCTTGTTTTTAAATCTCACTGAAACGTACCGTTTCATTATGAATTTAACTAGCAAAAAACACATGTCTCATTATTAGTCACGTTTTTATTTCTATTTAAATTTGGAACAAAGGAACAACAACATTAGCAAAGATTCATTTTAATAAAATTATAGTTTGAGAGATAGCCTCTAGATATTTACATGCCGTTATCCTTAGATGTTGTAATGATGTACATTGTCTATATATTTAATCAAGCAGAGCATTAAATGTCGCCTTATATTGATATATATTGCATGCTTAGTTGTCGGAAATTCTGACTTTTCCTAGTCAAATAGTTAACAAATATAAATGAAAACGCTATGAATAGATCAAATTCTTTTACTTGACTGTTCGAGAAAGCTTCAAGCTACGGTAATTTAATGTATTTCTTATTACGCAATTTTCTTAGAACTACTATTTGACAATAGAAGTAGAATAATTTTAGTTTGAAACAGACTAAGCAGAAAAACATATTACTGAAATAAAACAACATCTTTTTTTTTCTGTTGTTTTTTTTCAATAAAAATTTATGTCTTCAATCCATTTCAACATTTTATTTCCTAAAAAAATTTTTTTTTTATTGATAAAATAAATTCTTCTCTTTTCACGTATCTAATTTACTTATAACTGTTCATAGTGGATCTATAACACATGTGCAACAGTTTCTTGCATAGATTATGAGTTACACTACGATATTCATATTATGTTAAAAAAATCTTTGAACAGGTTCTTATATTCCGCCCCCTCACAAAAAAGACATTCAAAGTGTCTTAGAATAAATATCTTAGTATAGTGAGAGAGAGAGAGATATGTTCATTAATTACACCGCTAAAATTTAAGTCTCTAATTAAGCATATATCACATGAAAGAGTATCTCAACGCGTAAAATGCTTTTCTTAGTAAAAATATCTTTTTTACATGTAGGTCATATTAATGTCAAACTTATAGCTAGTTAGGGGTTATTCCTGTAACATTATCTGTTAGTAGAAAAACGTTGATGTAATTTTTATTTTACACATGTAACTGTAATTTGTATAAAGAAACCAATTAATACGAATGACCTATTATGCTGGTGCAAATTGCCTATTGTGTGTAAACTGTGATCAACATATAAAAGACATTTAGTTGATCTTCGAATAATACTTTAGAAATACGAAACTTTATGGGTCACGTTGAACGAAAAATGATGAACAAAATTTGTATAGATAAAATAAAAAAAGTGTTAGAAATTCAATATTCAACCGTGTTTTCTTTGTCAGTATATAAAAAAATTCTTTTTTGTAAATCAACGCTTTTGTTACACTTTGACTAATTCTGGCTGAACTAACAATTTTAATTTATTGGTTTTTCCATAAAATCGTTGTGTGTTTCAAGATTTACTAATAGTGACTGAAAAAATTATGAACTTGCAGTCTTTATGACTAATATTTCCCATGTACTGTGTGCGTTTATAAACACATCAAAGACGCACCAGTCAACGATTAGCTTCATCTGAAAAGCTGAATCAGCTCTGCAGTTTTATCAGGCTTCACTAAAATATATCTTCTGATTCAGAAATGATAATTCTGATCAGCTCATTCAGCTCTGAATCTGGTGACGGAATCACAGCCAAATTTGCTGAAAAAGACAATTTCTAAAATTTTAGAGTTCATTCCGGTCAGATTTTTCCGCTCTGAATCAGTTATTAGAAGAAAAAGCTTCATGTAAATAAAAAACTAAGAATTCTAAGAAAAATTAGAAATAATATAATAATGAGACAGTAAAACAATATTAATTCATATTGTAATCAATATTATATCAATAATGAGACAGTAAAAACAGTTTTACTATGAGTAGGAAGATATTAGTTACTATCAAGCGCACTCCCGTAGTTCTCAGCATCATGTGGTTACTTGAACCAGCTATGAAAGCACTGATAAAGATATTCATTTCAGAATTAGTGAGAAGCAGAGGAGGAGAATAAAATGTTTTGTAAAAAGTAGTCTTTGATTTTTTCGGAGCTGATTCCGACTCTGATTCATGCCTGATAAAACTACATAGCTGATTCAGCTTTCGAGCTGATCGTCGACTAGTGATATAATACTACATTAATAAAAATCATTGTTCTTCTAGAATCATAAATATTGGAAATACGAAATTCTTAATTATTTTATGATTAGAAAAAAGCGAAATATTTACAAATAAGAACAATCTTAGTAAATTTTTTTCTTTTAGGTTGGTAATTTATTTATATTGAGTTTAGCTACAGCAGATCTTATTGTTGGATGCTTTGTAATGCCAATTGCTGGAATTTATGCAATTATGGAAAGTTGGAATATGGGTAAGTGTTACAGAAAACTGATTTTCATCTTCATATTTTCCAAAAGTAAACATCTTCATATCACATTACATAGTTGATCTTAAGACATAGTTGAATTCCTGAAATATTGAAAGATGGTTATTAAAATCCAGTTGGCTTTCTAGTGTTATTCAAATATAAAAGTTCCTTTTTGTTTAAAAGCATATAAGAGTGTCTTCTCTCTTATCAGCTCTTGTGCACCGTTCCTAGATTAATATTCTAAAAATTTATTCTATCACTAAAAATGTTCTTATACGCAATAATGTTTACATAATATTTTTATAGACAATTTGAGTAAGTAAAACAAAATTGATTCGAAAGAAGAATAAGAGGGAAAGAATTAAATAAATTAGTTACTCAGCTCATTCTTATTACTACTAATCTACACCATACGCTGAATTATTTTATCATTTATTTTCTTCTTTATATACCGTGTAGAGGAAAGGAGGAAAAAACAAAAACATCAAACTTTTTTTTATCAGCCTAGAAGCTATTAATCCTTAACATTTCAAGATGGAGAAAAAAAAATGAAGAGAAAGAAAAAAGATGTCATAATGAAACAATCATCTGTTCATAAATTAAATAACAATAACCATGAATTAATAACAACGTTGAGAGTAATAGGTTTGACTAGCGAGCACCAAATTGGTACATGATCAATATAAGCAAAGGCAAACAAATTATACGGTGAATTGAGTACAAAAACTGTAGGCTTCCCTCTTGTAAGAGTCAGATGCCCAAGCTAACAACTCACAAAGCAAGTCCAGTTCAAAATTCCTACGACAGCTACTGCTTTATTAACCATAATTGGTGAACAAAGCTAATTTCAAACCAGTAGTAAAATATTTTCTTCAGTTAATAAAGAACAGTGACAAATATAGGATGTTTAATAATTCACTTCTTTTCTCCTTCCAATCCACAGGATCTTTTTTTCCTATTTATAGCGTTATAACGCTATAAAACATGTTTTTTTTAAAATTAGGGCATAAGGACGGTATAAAACATGCTTTTTCTTAAATTATGGTATTACAACGCTATAGATTTATCTCATTAGAACGCTATAGTAGCCCGTCGTGTTATAACGCGTTGCAAGGTTATTTTTCAGGAATTTATGCCGTTGTAGCTGGATAAAAATTCATAATTTAATTATAGAAATTTTTTAATTAGATAAAGAATCTATTATCATATGTTCAATACGAGGAAATAGAAATGTTGACTAAATTGTCATTGTTTCACATGTAAACAACGAGATAAACTATATGAATTAGACTATTTCGTTAAAACGTGGGTATAATGTGAAAAGATCACGTTCTTGATATTCCATAAAGAGGAAATAGATCCCTACTGCTGAACGATGTATTTTCTCAGTATGAAAACAGAATATGCCCAATAATTGATGACATTTATCATTTCGAGTATAGTAAGTATAAAAAAGCATGTTGATGTAATCTCGATTAAAAGTTAAATTTTATATCATTTTTTCAAACAAATTAATATTATTTCAAACACTTTCGTTAGAATTTTTAGCCATACATGGATGATTGTAATAATAAATATCCAATCTTCGTTACCTTTAGATCCATATTGTGTCCTCATTATGCGCTGATGTTCATCCGATATGCTCCATTTGTCTTTGTGTAGAGTCGTATAAAATCATTCCACAGTGGAATATGCCGATCTTCATTTTGAAATATTGAATTCATTGTTCAAAAATGCTTTAGTTTCTTGAAAAGACAGATTCTTGCTAACATGCAAAGAAACGTTTATTTTCTTGTTTTTTCTTGTTTGGATAATATTCATCTCAGACAGCATTGATTCGAAGATTAATTTCCTTCTAACCATCTTTCTTAGTATTTTAATGGATCAATGTACTATTAATAAAGTTATGTATAACTATGGGCTAATAGCAAAAATAAAACGTCACAAAAAATAGTATCACTATTTTTGAACGAATTGATCCGATTAAGTGACGTACTTTTGTAATATATATTTTTTCTGTTATCATAGCATAAATCGTGTGAGCAGATTAACATTACTTCATTCGGTATCTGATTTCAGTCTACAAAGTTGTCTATAAAGTGTAAACGTACTCTTACTGCGTGAATGACAAACTAATTAAAGCTGAATATTTAAAGTTTGTATTTATTTATTTTATTCTTGTAATAGACAAAATACTAATTACATTTTTACTTCTTTTTTTTTGTATTTTATATTGATGCATTCTTCAGATTGCTTTCCTAGCAAATCACATACAAATGCGGGGGAAAAACTACGTGAATTTGGAACTAGGCACATTGAAAAATGTCTTGAGGAAATGGGAAGTACACGATGAACGAAATAGTAACTCCATGAAGTGACAACAAATCTGGCTAAATTTTCTCCTTTTTAACGTCCAGGGATGGGATACTCAAGCACTGCAAATGGTTGATCTTATCCATAGTCGAGAGATTTCTTTTTGTACCTGCACAGACGTAGGAAGGTTTGGGAAAATAATAAACATAATTATCTCCCGTTCATCCCAAATACTTTTAATTCCTAGCGACGTTCCGAGGGAAACATAGATTTTATATCTTCAAATTTTGCAGGTTTAATAGGCGAAACGTTAAGATTTGGTACCACTGATCGTTGCTTTACACATTAAAACACAGATTTTCAGATTTTTACAAATTTTTCTTGTGTTCGATGCAAAGAGTACGAAATTATATTTTGTTTACTTTCAAGATTTGCGTCGGTACTTGAATCATATAAAAACAATGTTCGCTTTTTATTGGCGTTAAAACATAGAGCCACGATTTGATTAGAAAGAGAAAAATTTAAACCCGCTTTGCATTCAATGGAGTTCAATTTAGTACAATATCATTTTCTCGTTCTTATAATGAACGTTAAAAACATCTATAATTATTTTTAAAAGTAATTTCAAAACACATCTTCTGAGAGCACAAAATGTTTTATAGGAGGTTCAGCTCTTCAATCGTCCACCTCTGGCGATGCCACTAACCGTACATATTGTTCTCTTCAGTTTAATGGATAGAATATTGAGATATGTTTTTAGAAGATTTTAATCGAAATAGGTGGGTATCTTATTGCAAACATGACATATGTGTTGTACCTCTACTTTTAAGTTTGCTAAGATGTACGACTATATTATTCTGATGGTTTCTCTTATCGTTATAGGAATTGTTTTATGCCAGATATGGTTATCGGTTGATTATTTTGCGTCTACTGCTAGTATATTTAATTTATTAACATTAAGTTTAGATCGTTATTGGTCAATAACATCACCATTACAATATTTAGGAAAACGAACTCGAACAAGAGCATTATTTATGATCGGTTTCGCTTGGGGTCTTTCTATACTATGGATTATACCTATTATCGGATGGCATGCATTTATACATCAAGGAATTAGACTCGTACCTGTAAGTAGGCATGAAAAATAATTTGTGTCATATAAAGTGGTGGCAAAAAGTTTAACAACAAACTTGTTTTTGTTCTTTCTCGCGAATCCTAGTAGCTACAATAAATCTGACCATAGGTTCATACAGCGCTGACTTGGATGTGTGTATATATATTATTCAAACAATTTCAATTTGACTTTAACCTGTTAGAAAAAAGGTTTTCTCAGAAATCCACGATCTCTAAAAATTCTACTTTTTTAAAACCCAATGCAAACATTTGTTTTATTATTTCGTAAGATAGAGCAAAGTCTTCTCTTCAAAATGAGACCTTCCGCAGTTCTCCACAACAGTTTTTCATTGAGTTATGA